TATTCAATATGGGTAGACTTTTGCCTGTGGAAATCAGGGAATTGTCTTTGTAAGGAGGGGAGGAATCTATTGAAAAGCGTTGGGTGGTGGGAAGGATACAGTAGCAGCCACCAGCCCAGCTCTGTCTGCGACGGCGAAGGCGAAGGTTCTGCCTGGGGGGAGGGAGATGAGACATTTAAGTGATCACTTTCACACCTAAGTTGGTCTTTGATTGCCAATATCCTTTTAGCTAGCCTCACCCCAATTGGTTGATGGGGATATTGTATCAAATTATAGTTGGGGAAATGTGGTTCTATGCAAAACCTCCAAAGTGTTCCGATACATTGTATCAATGGTACTGGGTAAAAAATTTCTTACAAGGGAGTCAATCTGTCACTGAAAGGGGGGACATTCTAAGAATATCGATATAATCATTTGAATTTAAAAATAGGGCTGCTTGATTTTATTCACATCATCTTTATTAACAGCGTGGTTTATATAAGAGTTGGAAACTCTTTCCCTCTGCTCTTCATCACACCCTGGCCTGGCCATGGGGCTAAGATGCCGAGCCCCGTCTGGGCAGCAGGGCCACCGTGCAGCCCACCACCGGTGGGTACTCAGCCGCCCCTGGCCCTGGCCCCATGGGCCTGGGCTTCCCAGGGGTTGCAACCACCGCCGTCCCTGTGGTGGTCTCTTGGCTTCTGTCTGGAGAACTGTTTTATCTCACTCCAGGTTTATGCATGTTTGAATGTGTGCACACATTGCACGGCAGGATAGAGGGGTGTTGTTGCTAGCATCCTGCTATATTGCTGCCTGAAACCGGGTGACCTGTACCATAGGGCTGGATTTTCATTTTTATATTGTTTAAGCTTATTAAAGAGACGACATGTAATCATGTACAGGGGTTTCTGGGTTTTGTTAATGTGGGTACTGTAAAAGCTGAGCACCTGTTAAATGCCACAAACCCAGATGACTAATTATTTTCTACAATCCATCCATCCGACAGACCTCCCCACGTCGGCCAGCCTCCAGGTACTGCACTTACCAAGGTGGTTGGGATTAATCAGGGTATGGATTAAATGGAGCTTGACTAGTAGCGGAAGCCCCTTGGATCGCATCGCTGGGGAACACACAGAGAGCAGGGACAGGCGCACCACGGCTGTCACCAGCTGGTCGCTGTGCTACGGGCAGTGCCCGTGGCGTGAGGTACCCTACGGCTGTGGGAAGAGGGCCACGAGAGCCTCTCACGGGACACATGACTGGTGACTCTGATGAGGTCGGAGGTAGTGACACCGCAAGGCCACCCAGAGGGGGCAGCTTCTGGGCCCAGCCCTTCCTCGGGGGCACAGAGGGAGGGTCTCAGCAAGGTGCACCCAGGGCGGGGGGGGCAGGCCAGGTGGTCGTGGGCCAAGGGGTTGGGCATGGGGCCCAGACAGGAGCAGGGGCAGGGCAGCTATCGCAAACTGGTACACTTTTTTTTTTTTAGACTGAGTCTCACGGTTGTTGCCTGAGGCTTAGAGTGTCATGGTGTCAGGCCTCGCTCACAGCAACCTCCAACTCCTGGGGCTCAAGCGAAGTCCTCCTGCCTCAGGCCTCCCAAGTAGCTTAAGGATCAGGCATGTTGCCACACATGCCCAGCTAAACTTTGAAGGTGGTATAGACGTGAGTATGAATATATAGTATAGTATAGTATGATACACATATATATATATTTAAGCTGTAAAATTATATTTAAGGCTCATAAAGCTTAAATATATATATATTTTTTAAGCTTTATTAAATGAGACGATATGTATATTACAGGGTTTCTGGGTTTTTTAATGTGACTGTAATAGATAGCACCTTTAAATATCACAAACCCAATTGGACTTAATTATTATAAATTGGACTTAAATATATATATATATTCATATATATATATATGTTTTTAGTTGGCCAATTAATTTCTTTCTATTTACAGTAGAGACAGGGTCTCGCTCTTACTCAGGCTGGTCTCGAACTCCAGACCTTGAGCGATCCACCTGTCTTGGCCTCCCAGAGTGCTGGGATTACAGGCGTGAGCCACCGTACCCGGCCAGGTCACTTTTGATAGCAGAGGCCCGACCATGTTCAGAGCTTGTGGTGCCGGTCTGGGATTCAGCTGGCTGCGGCCTCCGGCAGGTGGGGCATCCCGGTGGGCGGCACAACTCAGACTACGGGCAGATGCAAGCTGTCCTTGGGGCTCTGGGAAGTTCGGCCCCAGGTGAGGGGTGACCCCAGCTCAGGGGCTCCCCGTATTTCTTAAATGCCATGCACCCTGGGGTGCCTTCTCAGCCCGTTGCTCTGTTCATGCTGCTTGGCCTCCCCAGGGCACCCCAAATAACCTGGTCTCATAGCCCCAGCCTGTGGAGGGTCCCAGCCCCTGCCCGTGTCCAGCTGTGGCTGAGTGTGCTGGGCCTTCCACGAGGCATGAGACAGCTCCTCCCGCACCTGCCCCCCGCCCCGCCGGCCCACTGGCTCCCGTTCTGCCTGGTTCACGGGCGACACTGCAACCACCCTGTCCATAGCTGTAGAAACAGTGCCGGCATGGTATTTCGAGCCATACAAACCCACAGAGTTGCCATGTAGATGTTAGAACGTGTTGGGTTGAACCGCATGAAGCAGCCTGTTCTGCAGAAATATCACACGGGAGCATCAGCGGTTCCACACGGCCCCCGCGTGCAGGAGACGGTCCGGCCTCACGGAGACAGATGGAAACGCACGTTCGTGGCCGTTTTCCCCGTGCGGTTGCTCGGCGAGCTGTCGTGTTCCGGGCCAGCCCTCGTGCCCTGGGCCACAGCGGGCCCCGCTCCTCACGGCTGTGGGGACAGTTTTGCTGGAAGGGAAACTGATCCTTCTCGGGCAGCCGGTCCTCCCTCTGGTGACCGGCGCTCTGCCGAAGCGCGGGACAGGGCAGGGGCCAGGCCGCGGCGAGGGGGGGTGGGCGCCCTGGGGGTCGGTCTCCTGGGGGAGCTGTGACACCTCCCTGCCGAGTGCCCTGGCTCGCAAGGCTGGAAAACGCAAGGGAACGATACCGGTCAATGACCGCCCCAGAGAGACGGGGTAGGGCGAGAAGTGCATGCGGGGCCTTCTGGGTGGCGGGGCCTCGTGGCGGGCCTGGGCCGGGTGGCTCGACCTCCCTGGAAAGCGCCTGTTTGGCAGGACAGCAGCTGCGTGCCGGCGCCTGGGTCCCGGTGCCGTTTTGGTCCTCGCGTCTCGCGAGGTGAGTTCTGCCTCTCTGGGAGGAGAAGGTGGGCGCTTTCATCCAAACTCGCTGCGTGCTTTTACTTTTCACCTCCCCTATCCCCAGAATGAAAAAGCGGAAAAAAGGACAACCTGGTCGTCCAGGCATTGCTGAATAATGGCGTAATTCTCCAGCTGTAACCCCCGTGCTCCGAGTCTTGATCCGCGTCCTTCCTTTCCTTCCTTCTTCCTGTCCTTCCTTCTTCCCTTCCTTCCTTCCTTGCATTCCTCCTCCTTCCTCCTTCCTGTCCTTTCCTTCCTTCCGCGTC